TAAAAGTGCTCTCCGAACCGTGCTGGATAGTCACCCATCACACGGCTCTCAAACCCAACCTGTGGTGGGTCCCGGGAGTTGATGAGATCAGCTTTCAAAGGTTCATTTTTTAGCCCTTGCTTCTTTATTTTTTTCGTTTCTAAATTGGTTCTTCTTTCTTATTTGAATGTGTACTAAAAATTATTAAATATTGAGAAAAAATTTATGAAAATGGAATAAACTTAATATTGAGATTTATACGTAAAATCAAATTAATTTAGAATTGATGGAATAAACTTAATTCTATATTATTACAATATTGCATTTAAATAGTAAAATGCACTAGGTTGATGCATCAATTTCAAGATGCAAATAGGGTAGAAAATCCTAAAACTTCCGTTAGCATTACGGGTGAAAGATAATTTAGAATCTCTTGTTATACTCATCCCTCAAATTTGGAACCTTCGATACATGAGATAGCAGCAGTTCTTTGGTCAATTAATAAGCCGACCCAAATAATATTGTGTGACAAATGATTGATCTCTGGGCTCCACTTTGGTATTTCATAGCCCTTGCTACTCATGTGTTACAATCAATTCCATTATACCTTCTTTCAGCTATCAAGATTCATCGAAAGGGTTTTCGAACACTACATGGAGTAACAAAGACATTATTTAGCAAGTTATGGTGGAGATTTAGAGTTTCAACTGATCCATTGTGGAATAAATATTGCAAGAAACAACATCCAGTTATAGCTAGGGCGAGAGGTGTTTCACATGTATGAAAAAAGATGGTAGAGATGAGGGTAGAACAGGAGATAAGGTGGCAAATTAAGTCTAAAACTCTAGTTTTTGGTACGATATTTGGACAAGAAAATGAGCGTGTTTTATCTAACCAATGATATGAATGACGCTAAGGAAGAAATAGAGTTACAAATGTGTATGAACAATCAAGAAAATGAGCGTTTTATCTAACCAATGATATGAAGGAAGAAATAGAGTTACAAATGTGTATCAACAACGGATAATGAGATAAAGAAAAGCTATGTGAGTTGGTGCGAGAAGAGGTAGTGATTCAAACAATCAAAAGTATAAAGGTGAATGTGAGATAAGATGAAGTTGATCAGCCATGGTGGATATTTTTAATGCTAGTGAAATTTTTTCGATCAAGTCAACTTTTGAAATAGTAATGCATCAACAAGTACTGGTAGCTGTGCATCGATTGGTGAAAATAAATATATATGGATAATACTGCCTTGTGAATGGAATGAAATAATACACATTTTGAAGAATTATAAGTCACAGATTCACTCGAAGACAGTGAGATGACTACTACCGAAGCAAGAATAGATAAAGTGCAATACAAATGGTGCAAGTAGGGTAACCCTGGAGAAAGCGCATACGCCTTTTGCATAAGAAATAACAATGAGGATTTGATTAAAGCTGAAGCGGGATGTATAGACATTACCACTAGTATGGAGACAGAAACGGATGTTGTGATAATGGCGCGGAGAAAGTGTAGGGAGTTACAATTACAAAATATAATTTTGGAGACTGATTCGATCAATTTAAGAAATTTTATTGTGAAAGATTGACAGATACCTTGGAAGCTCAGCGATCAGATAGAGGAGATAAGGCTACACACAAGTGATTTACGGTGTATAATTAAACATATTTTCAGGGAAGACAATCAGGTAGCAGACAAACTTGCGAGCATAACATTGGATCAACAGAGCCCAATAAGCGTGAGCAGTTTTACACAACTACCTCGTGATTGCAGAATCTTGGTCAACATCAATAAAGCGCATATGATTTAAAGCTGTCAATATGGGCTAAGCTCGTTGGACTGGCCTGGCCTAACTCAGGATTTAATAGGGGTGACTAAGATTCTTTTAGCCAATTTAAGAATAGAATTTTTTAACCCGACCTGAATAAGGGACCGAAGAAATTTCTAAATCAAAGTAAACATGTAAACCCATATACACAAACTCATTTTGTTAAAGCAGCCAAAAAACACCCCGAATCTTCAGCTACACACAAGCAAAATTAATCAAATCAAAATGCATAAACATTAACAAATACACAACTCGGAACGATCCAGAAACAAACTCACCAGTGAATCTTCGAATTAGTCAAATCGCACATTGTTTTCACCATCAAAGAAGATAAAAAGTAAGATCTGAACTGTAGTTGAAGCAACAAATAAACCTAGGGTTTTCAAAACAAAAAAACGATCGATGAAATGGTGGAGAAAAAGGTAAAGGAAAAACTGAGAACAAAATGTATACTACTGTGTGTTAGAGCGAGAGAAAGAGAGAGGTGAGTGAATTTGAAATTAAAAAGAGGAAAGTGATAGTGAAGAGACAACAAGCAAATTAGTATTGTTTGACCAAATTTAATTAGTATACAATACATATTAATAAGAGAATTTGCTTGTTATGTAATAGTGAGAACGTTGTCTCTTCACTCTCACGTTCCTCTTTTAATTTCAAATTCATTCACCTCTCTCTTTATCTCTCTCATACACACACAGTAGCATATATTTTTCTCTCAGTTCTTCCTTTACCTTTTTCTCCACCATCTCATCAATCAATTTTTTTTTGTTTTGGAAACCCTAGGTTTGTTTATTGTTTCAACTACAGTTCAGATTTTACTTTTTATGTTCTTTGATAGTGGAAAAAGTGTGCGATTTGATTAATTTGAAAATTCACCGGTGAGTTTGTTTCTGGATTGTTTCGAGTTGTGTATTTGTTAAGTGTTTGTGCATTTTGATTAGGTTAATTTTGCTTGTGTTTAGCTCGAGATTCTGTGTGTTTTTCGCTGCTTTAACAAAATGTTTTTACATATATGGGTTTACATGTTTACTTTGATGTAGAATTTAATTGTGATGTGGATTTTATAGGGGTGGGCTGATTTGTGGGTCTTGAGGACAATCTAACAAGAAGTAACATTAACATTATGTAATATTATTTTGTCAATAGCAAACATTTAGCCCATATACTTGTTGGTTGGACCGATCGTTTTCTAGACCACATCAAAATGGGCTAGCTCGGTCTGACCTGTAAAATGTCAAAGCATGTATGGATTAACTCGGATGAGATAGGCTAGCCCAATTGACAGCTCTAGCAGATATCAAACATTGAGAATAAAGAAAGGGAGGATAAACATCGACATTCATTAATAAAAAGGGAGGGATACCACAGTTTGAGAGATCACATAAAAGTCATTTACATCGATATATTCAGTCAACATCAGATTTTCCTAAGCTTTGTCAGCTTACAAAAAGAAGTCACCAGCCAAAGGGATTGGTTTGTGCATTTGGTATAAATTCCCCAGCATCTTTTGGACAACGTTACCTCTACATCAACAAGAGAAAGAAGATGAGAGGTATCTATTGGAATGAGGAGATAAAGTAGGAAATAGCTTACCTTTGTGAGCTGCTGAGTTTTGCTTTGAGTTGTTTTTGTTGGTTATTTTTGTGGTTCAGTCTGTACAACTTTATTTGGAAATAAAAAGGCCTCTGGCCTAAATTTAACCAAAATAAAATAAAATATAGTAATAATACAAAAATAGGAATTCAAACAACTGCAATAACGCCTCAACCTTAAATTAGTTGGGTTTTACGTATAAATCCTTAATATCAATTTTATTTCATCTTCATCAATATTTTTTTTATGAGACAAACTTGAGATATTGGTGATTTTTTATATCGATTATGATTTTCGCCTTTTTTGTCCATTCCACAATCATGAAACTCTATCAACCACATAAATATTGGATAATCAAGTTCACCAAAAACTTAAGAAAATGAAAAGTAATCACTTGATACCTTTCCTCCTCGAAGATATTGAACTTAGGGTGTGTTTGGTATGGAGAAAAATAATTTATGGAAAATGTTTTTTAATTTTTCATGTTTGGTTGGCTTATATGTTGGAAAATGTTTTCCAATCAACTCATTTTCCTCAAATTTTAGGAAAATGACTTTCCTTCAAAAATAAAGAAATACATTTTTCAAAACTCTATTTCATCCTATAATTTTTTTTACTTACTCTGCCCATACGCTGTACCCGATCCTCTCAATTCAAAAAAAAATTAAAAAAATTCTTTTTCTTTAAATTTCAAATCTATTTTTTATCCTTACCACCAACCCCCTCCTTCCCGCGCCCCCCCCCCCCCCACACACACACACACAAAACCACCAACAAAAACCAAAAAAAAAGTTGCTTTTTAAAATATTTCAAAATTATTTTTAAAAAAAAGATAAATTACGCCATTCCCTCTCAACAAGGCCACCCTCTAACCCGCACCCTGTCAATTTGTTTTATAAAACGAAAATTGAAAAATATTTTTTTATTTCTTTTCATTTTTTACCCCCCCCCCTACCCTGCCACCCCACCCAGGCCATCCCCATCAATTTTTTAAAAAAAAATATTTTTGAAAAATATTTTCAATTTAAAGTTTTTCATTTTTGCACCACCTTACCCCAGCACCACCTCCCACTCGAGCTACCCTGTCAATTTTATTATTTTTTCAAAAAGAAAAAAGGTTTTTTTTGAAACGGTCATGAAGTCTTATCCTAGTTTGAATGTTGAAGTCGAATCCTAGATCAATTATCTTAAAGAGTATTTTTTTAATCTCAAATAAAAAATAAAAGATATTTTCTAAAAAAAAAATTTGTTCACCAAACCAAGCGCACACTTAATCACCGTGATTTTTATCCAGTAATTGACAGTCGGTCGCCCTTTGGGTGCCTGTAAATTTTCCTGATATTACATGTAACTTTTGTTCAAACCAAAACAATACAAATAAACTCGTGAACTTTTCATTTCAAAAGGCTTTGTTGTCTGAAAATATGAACATCAGCGTAGAAGAGAGTATTTTCAAAATGCATGCGACCTCAAAAACGCCATAGCAAGAATTGTTTATGCTCGCTCAGTTCCTTCAGGTATACGCATCACCAGGCAATGAAAAGTTCCTTGCACCACATATTTAATTTACATAATATCAAAGGGAAATGAAAAGAAGAAGAAAACGTCAATTGCCCATCAAATTACTAGTTTTTAGAAATTTTCATACCGTGACCATATTCTTCAAACTAGCAATGATGCAGAAAGATTTGGAGACTTAAATTAGCAATGAACAATCGGAGAGGCTACACTCCAAGCCATGGTTACAATCAGTTCATTGAGAAAGTTCTGGAGACTAGCTTATCAAACATGAGATTGACGAAATTCAACTGCCTAACTACTATGGTGTACCAAAATGGAATTTCTATCTCACATTTTAGACCTTTTCAAACTAAATTACGAGCCTCTGGCAGATTACTCCAGACTAAACTATCTTCGCAATTGATTCATGGCCAACGGCGATCACTTTTTTGAAGTTTTGAAACCTCCGAATCCCATCATAGCTGCAACATCAGGGTCTATTTCAGGTTCCTCTTCTGAGACCTTCTCTTTCTGGATATCAATACAGATCATCAAAGTAACCATCAACAAAACTTTGATAGAGTAAGCACTGCCGTAGAAAGGGAGAGAGGGGAAGAGATAACGAATAAGTATATGACCAAAATCTGACTCATGATATCAGTACCATAATCTCCAGTCTAATGTCCAAAAGTAAGCTTCACAGAACTACAAACCTTCTTCTCTTTCTTCTTTTCTCGACGTAAACGTTTCCTTTCTTCCTCTTCCTGCTGCTGTTTCAACATTCGCTCATCAAAATCTACAAGCAAAATGAAAGATGGTCATAGCAGTTCAATATGTGCATGCTAGTCCTTATACCTAAGGAAGCAGCTGTGCAATTACTTTTTAATCGGTGACAAACTAAAATGTGATACAGAGGAAAAAGGAAAACCATATCAATCTTCGCTATCACTACATATAAGGTACATACTCAACCTATAAAAATTAAAAGCATTAACCGTTCACTAAGCTGAGGCTTATTATCAATTCCTCTTTTTTTCCAGTTAGATTTCTACCTTGCACAGTAAAGCTTCCTGGATCTTTGCGCTTCTTAAGCGATTCAAATCGTTGTTGGACCTGAGAATCAAGAAATTTGAAGTTATTAAAGGAAAAAAATTGGAGCCAGATATGTTTATCATCTAGAGTCTAAAATAATAAGCAAGGATACTCTGAATCATTCATTGTGCCTATTTATAGCACAACCGTTCACTATTAGATCTTTATTTCGAATTAATACTTCAGAAATTAGTTGGATTCAGCTAAGAAATGGATATCTCACAAGTAAAATTAACTTACCTACCACACAAGACAGTCAAGTCCTTCAGTGATATTGACATTTTCCAAACAAATTTCAACTTAGTCAAATCCTTCATACTTCCCAACACGCTCTATTAGGGGTTTAATTTACTGATATTACTGAATAAATATTTTTTACACAATCAATGTAATTTAACCAGTTATAACAAGTCCTTTAACCTATTTCCATGTTACCATATTCAGGCTTGCTATAAATAGTTACATGATGTTGTAGGTCAACTTCTCCTAGTGATAAAGAAGTTAAACTCTTTAAGAATGAACACAGGATTATCTATAGGTATTCCAGAGTAAAGGGAAGGCAGAAACCCATAAAAAGAAAGAAGCAAGCCTGCAAAAAAGATCATTAAGTTGTGCCAGAGAACCCATTCGCTGGCCCAAATTATTTATGTATCCAAAACCATAATATAACCATGTTATACGCAAAGACAAGTAACTCCAGAATACAATGCAGATTCTCAAATCTATTGCCTTCTCAAGAAAAAACAATTGCAGACTCAAATTTTCCAAAGGCATGGACAATTTATTCTTTCAAGGGACCATCTCACCATCTCATCCTTACGGAACTAAGCAAATCTACAAACTTGAAAACACGTATCCCTTCAAGAGAGATAGAGTTTCACTAGAAAAAACGAAATTCTATAATCTGTCTTTACAACAAATTGACTGGACATCAGTCACAATGAAGAAAGAATATACCTAGAAATCCTACCTCAATCCCTTTTTTTCATTTCTCAATATCCTAATATTAGTCCAGATATTTCCTTCAGTTATAGCGGGGAGAAATCAACATTTTAAAAAACAAAGTTGACACTCACCCCAAACTCGCCTTTGGGTGAGGCAGCACTAAATGCCCTGAACAACCATGTGAGCGTTGCATCTCTTGAGGCTAATGCTCAATTCATGGGGCATCAGGTCCCATGCACGCTTTATACTGTATGCCCATTTATACCCTGGATTATCACCCTGATGCCCATGTCAGTTTATGTTTCAATTCTCTTTTTTTCTACAATTTGTAAATATGGTACTTTACAATTAAGAATTCGGTAAACTGTACTGTTATTATTATGCACAAATATTATAATATCAAGGTAGTTAAACCAGCTTCTGAGAAAAGTTTGTTTTGGGTTATACACACTTTTAAATTACTTTTATATTCTTTCACAATTTATCTATTTTTAATTTAACTTTTGTTCTTAAGAACTGAAACTATGATAGGTCTATTCCTAGTGAATGATATTGTTACTTATCAATACAGAATAGAAACAATACTTCCTTGCCAATACATTATATTCAGCCCACCTGCTCTAGAGAGGATCTCTCCACCCGCATAGACATACCCAAAGCTCGTTGATCTGGAAAAAAAACATGCATCAATACGAATAAAACAATTGAAGCAGTTTTGAGCAAGAAAAAAGGCCAACAGGGGTGAAGTACAGCAACAAGTAAGAAGGTTATAGGTATCAAAATGACATACGCTTCTTCCCGTTGATATGGTCCAAGTAGTTTGCAGAATCCTTCACTACACATTCACATACTGGGCAATAGTATCCAGCCTGCATGGAAACAAATTATTTCATTTATATCTAACAAGAGATAATACTGTACCTTAACAAAGAAACAGAAAATATTAGTGACCACTAAGCAAGAAAAAGGTGGCTTAAGTACGATATGCACAACAAGTTGTAACACAAGTGTTTTCCTTTTATCAAGAAAAAAGTTTCTTATCTCTGAGAGCATATATTGAAAAAATATCTAGGGTCCAAATATGACCCGACTACATCTGATTGACAACAAACGATCCGTTAATCCTATATCTGGACCATGTCCTTGCTGCTTGACAACAAGAAGTTGAACTATAATAAATACAGAAGAAAGAAAATTGCATCACTGCAATTAGGAATTAACAAGTAAATAAGAACAGTGGAAAATACCTGCTGACTTAATGGTGCAATTGGAGTAACCACCTGCCAGAAATGAATAACACACAAATGAGAAATTGATGGATACATTGAGAATAGATAAGAAGCACGTGCTGACATTGAATTATTTCAACAAGTTGAATTCAGGAACTACAAGAAAAAGATATGCACAAGCAATAACATTCAAGACACCAGGGGAAAAGAAGAAGCAACAGAGAGGAGATCCAAAGCATGAAAATATATCCTCTTTTGCTCTTCCAATTTGGAGAACAGGGATGGGTTTCGTGAAGATTAATTGGGGGGGGGGGGGGGGGGGGGATCTTCTACATGTTTAGCCTAATGTTTAGGGTTCTCGGAGATAGCCATGTATACAGTTGTGACGCATTTGTTTTCTGTTAATTCTATAAAAATTTGACCTAGCGAAAGAGGAACTATAAAGGCAACCAAACTAAAGAAATTATGTAAAAACATATCCCTTATAAGGAAACCTAATCTCCATATGTCACATTATCAACAGACGATATTCTAAATTGTGTCAATCACAACAGATATCCAAGTCCATATAATTCAGTTTCACTAAAATAGGATGCAGATAAAAAAAACATAGAAGACTTGATAAAGAGCCTTTTTAGATTGGCTTATTTTAACTGTTTTCAAGCCAAAACAGCTTTTAAACACTTCTGAAGTGTTACGGTAAGTTAAAAAAAGTGCTTATAAGCACTTAGTTTTAGCTAAAATGGTAAAAAAATAAGTCAAAAGCCATAAGTTGGAAGTTCTAACTTAATGGCTTCCAACTTATGGCTTTTGGCTTATAAGCCAGAAGCCAAAAGCCAATCCAAACAGGTTTCAAAACCTAAAATGCCTCAAGTGTCAAACTACAAAAGTTCCTAAAATGTTCAACATGTATGGTCTGCATGTTGAGATTATTTTGAGTGCCACTTCCAAAGAGGTATCCATTGGGGGACAAGTATATTTTAGTTCCATAGATTAAGGGTTTCATGCATTCATATACTTCCAGAGAGGCGGTGATTTATCACCTACATAATGTATAACCCCTTCTGAAACATCATATCCTGTAGACATGCTTTACGAGAGGCAATCCACCCAGCACATGCTACTTACGAGGATCTCTAGTTTCTCATAACACTGGCCAAGGCCAAGTGACCCAAATTTTGTTCCTGTCATCAGTTTTGGACTACATTGTATAATATGTCTTCACTGTGAATATTTCAGTTTTATATGCAATCCAAATATACTCCACCAGATTATTTGTCTTCTTCCTGGTTCCCAATCATCAACATTAAGGAGTCAATCAGTTCCCCAGCATTGACAGACCTTGTTATTTCCTAACCATTATTCCTCCTACAATGAGCACTGGTATTGTCAAGATAAAGGAGAAAGTCATAGAACACGAGAATTCCTCCTCCAGAGTAGTATGCCCTATTTAAACATCTAGCAACCCTATTGTCTTCATCTCATTCCCCACCTACAAGTTTATATGTTACTGAAACTTGTGCCACAGTCCTCTAATATATTTCCAAGACACACACAAGAGGAGAAGAGTACATTTATTATTATAGCAGTCTTGTATGCAATATTTGGAATTAATAACCTTTCTCCAAGACAGTGGGACTAGACATTACAGCTTATAGTCCATTACAAACAAGAAAGAGTTAAGCTTTGGCTGATGGTTTGCAAATAATAAAAACTTCTTCATCACACTAGAGGCTACATAATTCAAATGAAATTTAAATGACAAAAAGCACCACAAAATCTCAAAGTTTGAACAGAAAGTCACAGTCAATGCAATTAAAAGAGCTGAGAACTCATATAAACTTCTTTTAATGTCATACATGTTCCTCTCTCTCGCACATACAATTTAGAAAAAGGAAAAAAGAAAGTCAACTTGAACTGATAGTTGAAACAATAATGAGTGCAATATGAAAGAAAAGAAATTGTAGCAAACCTGAGTCTTTCCTAACCGAGATTCGAGGTCCACTTGATAATCTCTTGGTTTCAAGGGCTTCCTCTGCACTGGAGGTCCTTTTGCTGCACAAAAAATGATGATATTTTCAATGATGTAAACTCTAGGTTTCAACTTTCAGCTCTACGGATACAACACTAAGCAAAGCACCAGTCGATCCATCGCCAATTCCATCTACATCCTACACTAATTGGCGTCAGCTATACCAATCAAATATCATATACTAACTACACCTCCATTCATACTAGTTGGGACTTGGGGTCAACCATATCAATCTTCCATATTCATCCTACACTGTTTTTGGCACATTCCATTACTCCAGTAAAGGATATCATCTGTAACATTCAGGTCTGTGCCAAACTAAAAAAGACAACTACACAAAATCAATCAATATAAACAATCCAAGAAAAAGATTCTCCGAATATGCATGTTAGTCTTACACTTTGATTTCCGACCATCAGCCTCCTGCACCAAATTGCAAATCAACCATGTCAATTAACAAGTAAATAACTAAAAATGAAGGGAAAATGGAAGATAATTTATGATTAAAAAACCTCTTCATCGCGTTCACGAGCACGCTGCAAAATCTCTTCTCTGTCGAACTTTTTTCGAGAAGTATTATCAACTCCAACAACCTGCATTCCGCCATTAAAGATGCCAAGCTCTTATATCAATAAAACTAGACCAGTAAACAAAAACACAAAGTGAAAGAGGGATAAAGAGAAGAACAGTGGTACATGATTGCTGGATTGATCCATTGCTTGGGGAATTGGACCAGTTGCTGGGACCGCTAGTTGAGAACAACTTGTGGAATCGACAGAGAATTACAAGGCCCGACCACGAAAATGAATGAAGAATTGTAAAAACCCTAGGTTCGATTTTGTGTTCAACAAAGAAGACGAATCAATTTTCAGGGAGGAAACGCGAAGAGGGTTTTGGTTCGTTTTCAAATAAGATAGCTCAGATGTGGATAAACCGACGGGTGTTTGGTCTAGTGGTATGATTCTCGCTTCGGGTGCGAGAGGTCGTGAGTTCGATTCTCGCAACACCCCTTTGCTCTTTTGTCATTGTCTGCTTTACGCTAGAATTCACTCGTTGTCGTTGCAGGTTGAAGAAGCCCGATTATACAAGGATTGATTATTTCCTCTTTGAGCCTCGTAATTTAATTTTGGATTAAATTGAAAAATCAAATTTTAATTTTAATTTGACTGATTTATTGAATTTTTAGTTTAATTTTGGATTTATAATTTACTTTGTTTGATTTGATTTCGTTTTCAATTTGGAAAAATGAAAATCGAAAAAACTGATTTTTATATATGTGTGTATTTAGAATTAAGTTGAATTCATATGATTTTATATATGATTTAGTTTATTTTCTTATGTTTGGATATCTATAGTTGATATACTTTCAAGTATTGTGTTTTACATTATACTTGTGATTTATATTAAAAAGTAAATTGATGAAATTCAATATTATATATATATATATATATATATATATATTGTAATTTTTTTTTAAATTGAAAATATAACTTTGTTATATTTTTTATTATTGATATAACTGAATTAATCAAATTGAAAAAACTCAAATCAAAAAAAAGAAAAATCAAACTAAATCAAATTTATTTTGGCTTGGATTGGATTACATTTCTTCAAAATTAAAAATCGAAAACCCAAATCGAATAGAACAAAACTAAACCAAAAAAACGAATGCACACCCATTGCTTGTTGTATGGATTGTTTCTAAGTGTTGTATTATTAACGTAATTTAAAAGTTTTTTCTTTAAATTATAGGATCTTACTCAATTATCACCATAGCTTAAATTTGTATGCTCATTTTCAGCGATTGTCGACTAGTCGTACTTTGTATGAAGTCCATGTAGATAAATGTTTCTTAGCATTGACAAATCACAATTATTTGGGGGAAAGGGTCAAATATGCCCCTAATTTTTGTAAAAATGTATAAAATATATCCTCCGTTTGAAGTATGACTCATTTGTGCCCTCGTCGTCCAACTTGTCGCTCACATATGCCCTTGTAGACATTAGATGTTTTGCTGTTAATAACCAACTTCTTTTTCTTTTCTTTGAATAACAAATGTATTATCAATCAATAAAATTTTATATTATATATTCTTTGTAATATGTATTAAAACTATATCGTAAATGTATTAAAAGTGATGAAGTGAAATAAATTAATATTAATTATAAATATTTCTTATATTTATTTAAGTTTCTTAATTAGTATTACACTAATTTGACTGTTTGGCATATTTAACGAAGTGGAGTGTCATTCGTCAAAACATATTGTTTGGCATATGTGAGTCCCAGTTGTCATCAACGTGTCATCGTCTTATTTGTTCGAACATGTCATAGAGACATTAACAAAATGGAGTCTCATTCGTCAAAACTCAAAACATAATATCTTTGTTTTCTTGCTTCTTTCCGGATTTTGATTGTCAATTTTCGTAATCATATTTTCCTCCTTTGTTTGTGTGCTCAGTTACCAATAAAATTAAATCTCTTAAATTTGTATTTAAATATTAACTATGTTACCCAATCAATATTATACAAATTATTTCACAAGGCTTTAAGAATAATTTAAAGTAATAATTAAATTTTGTGATTGATTCCTAGATCAATATTTATACTGTAGATCAATTAAATTTGAATTCACACTAAAAAGTTATTCAATATATTTAAATTTGTACTAGAAAGTCCTTCAATGCACTGGAGCTCAACTGAATGCGTATAAATGAAATGCTCCTTAACAAAAATGTCTCCTCTATATCCAAAATGATTGAAATGCAAATAGGTAAAACGTTTCTTAATAAAAATGTCTCTACATCCAAAACGACTGTAATACGAAACCTTTAATTAAATTTAAAAATAAAATAATACTTATTTCTCCACATAATTGTTAATATTTTATATATTACTCCAGTAACAACTTTTTTTATATTCATTCTTATCACTATTCTATCCAAAAAAAAAAAAAGACTATTACTAAAAGTTGCTTGTATATTACGAAATACTCCATTGGAAAAGCTCAGGTTAAGTAAACTTTGCACTCTTTATAAAAAATTTTATTAATTAATATTTTATTTTAAATTTAAATATAAGTAATTAAAATATTAAAAATAAAATATAATTTTTTTTCTTTGTGTATTAATATGGATAAATAAAGATGAATATATATATTTGGTACGGTAAATAAGTAAAAATAAATAAAAATAGTATTTAATATCTTTTACAAATAATATATGAGAAAAGAAAAACATATAACAAAACGTTTTCTATAAATACTAAACGAACGGAGCCATTTCTCAATTTATTGTTTGTTTGTTTCTTTTTTCTCCTCTTTTTGAAAATAATATAACTCACAATAACAAGAATAGGAGCTAGTAAAAATGGGGAGATCACAGATCTGTAGTGCTTTAGCAATTTTAGCTTTGTTCTTCTTCTCTTCAGCTTTGGCAGATGATGTCGTTGTTTTGACCGAAGAAAACTTCGACAAGGAGATCGGTCAAGATCGCGCTGCTCTCGTTGAGTTCTACGCTCCTTGGTTCGTACATATCTGTGAAACTTTTTTTTTTTACCGATTTTGCGGCTATATTATCTTATTTTTGATTTAGAAAATTTTGAATTTTGATGGATGCACTGGATTGTGAATGCTTAATCTGTTCATTGTGTGATTCGGTAATTAGATCTGTGATATTCTTGATCTTAGATAGTGTGATCTGGATTTGATTTGAATTAGCCAAGATGTAGTTATTGCTTTGTAATTAATCGATTGATTAATTTGTTAGTTTGCTAGAGTTGTTTTAGTTCATTTGATTGTCAGTGTGTTATGCACAGCTGCAAATTGATTTAAGTTTCTTGTTTCTTGAGGTTTTTAGACGTTAGAGTTTCCGATTATTGGATATAATGACGTGTTATGTGCTATCGTGATTCTAGATACTAATACTGCAGAATCTTGAGCCTAAACTAATATATCAGGAGTGTTTATGGGATTGATTTGAGTGTAGGGTTATATGGGTGCAAATCTTGCATATGTGTGTAGTTCTTGTTTTTTTTAATTACTGAGATGTGTGAGTGCTAAATATGTAAGGTTGCTGCGAGATCGAATATTTCTAGGTTGTGATGTGGACTAATTGGGTTCATATATTGGCCATGGGCAGGTGTGGGCACTGTAAAAAGCTTGCTCCTGAGTATGAAAAGCTTGGTGCAAGTTTCAAGAAAGCAAAGTCTGTTTTGATCGGAAAGGTTAGTTCTTCTGAATATGTAATGTCCTTTCAGTTTTTCATTGTGCTTGAATCATATATAATGGAGCTCTTTCTGTGGCTGAGGCCGTAAAATTTTTCCCTCTTTTTGTGTTTCTTTCCTCAGTGTATCATACTTCTATTTCCTTAAAGAAACTGCCGAATTCCTCCTATGTTTACTACTCACTCATTTTGGTTAGCGGAGAAGTTTGAGAAATTTAACCAAGTAGACTGTTGTGATTTGTGATTGATTCAGTTGGTTATTTCGTTTTATCTGATGAGAATGCAGTCAAGCAAAATAAAAAAGAATAGGAAAGGAAAAAAGAAGTGTATAACTGTGTAATCCTGTTTCTCCCATAAGAGAAGGTTATGTTATTGGTTTCGTTTGGTGGTGTAGTTTGGGTTAAGTTCCTTTGGATAGTGATAAACTGATTATTTGGTTTGACAAATTTAGTTGGATTGGATGGAACACTGGGTTCATTTATTTCTTTACCTGTATTAGCTAGCAAATGCATTTTTTATTTGTAATTCAATTTGTTTCACCTAATTTAATGGAAATTTTCTTCCTTTTATTTTAAGCTCGTAGAATAGTGTGCTGCATGACATATCTGAGGGCTCAACATAGCTGTTGCAATAGGCAACAGTTGCGTAGAAATCATCCATCAGTTATTGCTTGCGATATACCATTGGTTAGAGGTTGAGCTGAAAATTACCTGCAACTATTGGTTTCCTTCTATTAAAATCTTAACCTATTTCCCAGCATTTTCATTTTCGTTTCTCTGAAAAGCCAATCATGATGAAAATGGAAATTTTACCAAATGGTAGCATTCAGTTCTCTTCGTTGCCTTTTTTTTAATTTTATTTTGACAAATACTTTCAAGTCTTTTTTCAGTTAATTTTTATCTGTTTTTCAATTTTTGTTTTGTTAAGTTTGTGATGGTTCTAATAAACAATTCTCTGTAGATTGATTGTGATGAACATAAGAGTGTTTGCAGCAAATATGGGGTTCAAGGTTACCCCACTATCCAATGGTTTCCAAAGGGATCACTGGAGCCAAAAAAGTATGTTAATTAATTCTTGCATACTTACAAATCAGTTTTTGATTGTTTTTTTCTTTGCGACTCTTTTGCCCTACTTCTTACCATTTATTTTATTGCAGATACGAAGGTGCACGATCTGCTGAAGCCCTTGCCGAGTACGTGAACAGCGAAGCAGGTATTAAACTTGCCTTTGCAGCTTGAGTTTTTACCAGTTTAATGAGTTGGCTGATTGTGTATATAAGTATGTGGTGGCTTTTATTGTATTTTTGGATTCCAAATTCAGGATATGATATCCCACTACTTGTGTTGACATTCTGTCATGGATCTATCTGAGCTTTTATGCCTTGTGTTGTAACAATGGTTGAATGTTGTAATCCATATCTGAAATTATGTTCCCTTCCTTTTAAAAGTCATCCATATCTTGAATCTCCCTGCTCTGGTAGTACGAGTGTGGGTTGCAACTTGGGTTGGGGAAATAACATTGTGAAATCTTTAAGATGGTTGAAGAAATATATTGACTCCTTTATATTTGTAGTCTTATTCTCTCTCCATCCTCTGCATGTAGTAAAGCTCACTTCGTTAACCTCCTTTTCCTTAAGGTCAGCTTCCTTGAACCATATCTGTTTATTTACTTCTCGAGGATTATACTATTTATCCAAGAGCATCGAGTACTTAGGATAGTCATGTTCTCTGTAACAGTGATCTGTCCATCACTTTCTGTTAGTTCAGAAATGGAGAGGGGAAGGTGGAGTTAACTGGTGAGATGTTCTCAGGATGTGACAGACAGCTGT